ATCACAGAAATGACACAGCAGTGCCCCACCTGCCACTGCTCCTCCCTCTGCCTCTACTCCTCTCGGCTTGGCTGTGTTTTCAGTTACGCCTCAGGGACTGGGGATTGGAGGGAACTTCCCACCAGCCATGTTCCCAAGGAGGCTGGCACACGCCGTATTCCCATTTGCCAGCCCAGAGGGGGTCGAGGGACGGGCAAATGGGCAAATCCTTGTCTGCTTCTCTGCTTATCTATGATTTCTTATCTTTGTGGTGATGGTGGCTTGGGAGCTGGGCTTCATGCACTTTAGGCAAGCGCTGCCTCTTAAACTGCATCTTCTGGGAGCTGTGTGAATGGAAGGCCAGAGGAGCAGAGGATTTCAGTGAGGTTCACAGGCCAGAGTGGCCGGGTACCCCGAATTAAGCCACTTGGCTCCCTGGACCCCTTCATTCCTAGATAATGAGGACCCCAGCTCTGATCTGTCTAAGTTAGAGGACCTAGGGAGGCTCTGGATGGGAAGGGGGAGGGCAAGGTGATACATATCAATAGCTGAGACCTCCTTCCCCTCCCCCTTCTCTCCCTCCTCTCCTCTTTTCTGCCCTTTCTCCTTTCCTTCCTCTTTCCCTCCCTCCTCCTCTCTTTTCTGTCTACTCCCACCATTTTCCAGCAGCTGCCCTGAGCCAGGCACAGAGGCTGAGGGCTGCAGCCCAGCAGGCCAGACTTTAGAATCCTCCGAATCTGAGTCTTGATCCTGTAACGATGGTCCCATCCCTCTTGAGGCCTGTTTCCTCATCCTCATCTTGCGGTGGCCCACCTCTCCCTTGATGCTTTTCTGGGGAGACTAGGATTCTGCACACAACTTGAAAATGGGGGGGGCACATCTCCAAGCCCCTGTGGCGCTGTCACCAGTGCCCGGGTGCAGGGCAGGTGCAGAGATGGGGGCGGGGCAGGGCAGGGGGTGGAGGGAGGGCATAGCAGGCAGCCTGTCAGGATGGATCCCAGAGCATCAGGGTGTCGACTGCACTTGGAGAATGAGGAGGGAGCGGGTCCTGAGTGGAGACCACAGCTGGGCGTGGGTGGGGGAAGGGCCTGGCTTCCTGGTCACCTCTTCTGGGGGCCCCTTCCAGGGAGGGGACTGAGTGCCATGGAGAGCATGTCAGCACAGCTGGGTCTGTGGGCTTCCCAGGGTCCCCTGCTCTCGGGGAGACTCCCACCGGGGGCCTGGGAGGCAGCTGGCATCATACAACCCTGCAATTAGTAGATAAAGTCGGCAGGGGAGCTGGGTGGTGGTGGTGAGGGTGTGTGTTTGTGGGGACAGGGCTTAGCTACAGCTGGTTCCTGGGTGCTGCCTCAGCTTCCAGCCTGCACCCACTGCCCCAGAAGGGATGGCTGGAGTGGCTGGGGGGTCCCCAGATGGACAAGGCACGGGGGTCTTGAGAGGGAGTGCAGAACATAGGGAGGGCTAGAAAAAGAAGGAAAGTCCTGTTTTTGGATGTGGGTTTGGTCAATCTATTCACCGTGCTTCCCATTTTACAGAGCGGGAAACTGAGGGCCAGAGAGGGGCAGGACTTTACCAGAAGGCATACAGCAAGCCAGGTGTGTCTGGAGTGTTAGATCGGGGTGTCTCACTCCTGGGTGTGGAGGGACTGTGTGGTAGTCAACCTGGGCGAACCTACTTTGTCTGGGAGCAAGGGCAGTGCCAGGGCCCCCACCCCTCACTCTCACTGCAGGGGGAGGAGGGGCTCGCTGCTGAGGCTGGTCCAGCCGGTTCTCCAGCCTGTCTGGGCACCCCAGGTCTGGGAGGAATGCCTGGGCCCAGCACCCCATTCAGCCCCTGGGCTGCTCAGCAGAAACCCATCTAGGACTGGTTTGCAGTCAGTGCAGGAGGCTAAGTGGGCTGCTTCTAGCTTTAGCCTTTTGACATTGAAGTCCTCCACCCCTCACTCTTTCCCTCCTTCCCTCCCTCCCTCTCTTCCTCCCTCTGCACGTTCACCAGGCCCAGCGGCTTGTGATGGCTGCTAGGATGATTCTCTAGCGAAACAAGTAAACACACTAATGCTTTTATTTTTTTGGTTGTAGGGCTTGAACTCAGGGTCTGGGTGCTGTCCGCATCCTTAAGCTTTTTTGCTTTGAGCCCCAACTCTACTTCCACTTTGTTGTTTGTTGTTTTGTTTTTGACAGTCCTGGAGCTTGAACTCAGGGCCTGGGCACTGTCCCTGAGCTTCTTTTGCTCAAGGCTAGCACTCTACCATTTGAGCCACACAGCCACTTCCGACTTTTTGTTTATGTGGTACTGAGGAATGGAACCAGGGCTTCATGCATGCATAGGCAAGCACTCTACTCCTAAGCCACATTCACAGCTCTACTTCCAGGTTTTTTGGTGATTCATTGGAGATAAGAATCTCATGGATGCCAGGCACTGGTGGCTCATCCTGTAATCCTAGCTACTCAGGAGGCTAAGATTTGAGGATCAAAGCCAGCCGGAGCAGGAAACTCCGTGAGACTCTTATCTCCAATAAACCACTAGAAAACAGGAAGTGGCACTGTGGCTCAAGTGGTAGAGTGCTTGCCTTGAGCTGAAGAGCTGAGGGACAGCTCCCAAGCCCAGAGTTCAAGCCCCATGACCGACAAAAAACAACAACAACAAAAAAGAATCTCATGGACTTCCTGCCTGGGCTGGTTTGAAATCATGATCCTCAGATCTCAGCCTAGAAGTACAGTAGCTAGGAGTATAGGTGTGTGCCACAAGTGCCTAGCTCCACTTGGATTGCTCTTAAGACCTAATCCAGGGACTAGGAAGGTGGCTCAGTGGTAGAGTGCTTGTCTTGCATGCATGAGGCCCTGGGTTTGATTCTTCAGCACCACATAAGCAGAAAAAGCCAGACGTGGTACTGTGGCTCAAGTGGTAGAGCACTAGCCTTGAGCTGAAGAGCTGAGGGACAGTGCCCAGGCCCAGAGTTCAGGCACCACGACCAAAAAAAAGCAACAAAAAAAAAGACCTAATCCAAGAGGCCTGGTTTTGCAGGGCTCTGCTGGGGGAGGACCATCTTGGCTGGCTGGGGGAGGGGGAGGGTTTCTGGCCTGGCTGAAATGATGGGGCCTGGGAAGGTAGGCTGGGGATGGGCTTCAGAGGGTGGGGCATAAAGGGGGCCCTGGACAGCTCTGGACTCAGATCACCTGACAAAGCAGCTGGGTGGCCTTGGGATAGTTACTTGCTCTCTCCAAGCTTCCGGATCTCAGCATAAATGGAAGGATAATGTGCAATAAACATTAACTGCTTTGGCAGTCAAGTCCTCAACCCCCATAGAGCGGAGCCTGGGAGAGTAGACTTGGCCTGGTTATTTATTCAGTGTTGGGGGGGGGCGTTGGTGTGGCATTTCCCTTCTTCCCTGTTCAAAGGGAAACTGGATGAGGCCAGAGGAAACAGCATCCTCAAGTGCCTCCCATGGTAAGCCAGTGGTGTGCAGGAAGGAGATGGGTGAAGAGCAAGGCTAGAGGGGCTGGTAGGGACTGTGGTACAGGTGCACAGGTGCTGAGGGGCAGCCTCACTCTGCTGGGTAACTGTGGCCACCTTTGAGCAGGACCCACCCAGTGCAGCCAGAGGTGCTGACATGGGAGGAGAGGGAAACCCACATTTTGATGGGAAAACTTCCCATGACTAATATTAGCAATGCATTAAAGATTTCTCTAGAGCATCACGTGAGCCAGAGCTAATGCTTCTGTTGGCAGAAGCTGCAGCAGATCACGGGTGATTTTGGCTGAAGGTGAAGGGAGCTGGGGGGGGGGGTGGGGGAGGGCAGAATACATTCCAGGCCCCCAGGGGTCACCAAGTGCAGCCTTTGAGCTGTCCCTCCCCTCCCAAGGCCCCTCTATTTTGTGCACATAGAGATGGGTGGCTCTCTGCTTGCAGACTTAGCACTATCTCAGTGGAGGTGCCGGGGAGTCTGGGGGCCTGGAGGGCCTGCTCTGTGTCTGGGGTTGGCAGGTCTTAAGAGGTGTCTCTCTGGGCTGCTGTCATTGGAGCCTGGCTCCCAGATCCCCAGGGTTAAAGGGCAACACTTTTGGCCTTTTCCTAGCTAACTTCCTGTTTGGGAGAGAAAACAGAAAGCCCCATGGCAGGAAACGGTCTCTGCTGAGGCACAGGCACTGGCTCCTGGGGAGAGCGCCCTCCAGGGGGGTCCCCAGGGCTGTCTGGCTCCCTCCCGCACCCAGGAGGGGGCCATGGCAGTAAACACCCTCCACTGGCATATGGACCTGCTTATTGGCTCCCAGCTGGGCTGGGCAGAGAACTGTCACCCACCCACCTTGGTAGGGAGCCCCCTTATCAACAGACTCTGTCCTGGGTGCCAGGCTGAGACCCAGCCTTTCCTTGTATACCCTGGGCTCAGGGAACTCACTATTGCTGCCTGTGAATAATTCTCACAATGCCTGCTCCTGCAGGATGGGGCTGAGTTCAAATTCAACTCACAGGCCTCACCAGGAGGGCAGCTGCCCCTAATGCCACCTCAATAGTAAAAGACTCAAGTGCCAGCTCCTGTTTCTAATTGAGACTCCTCCCCTTCCACCTCAACTCAGTATAAAGCTGCTGGGTGCAGATGGCTTAGAAATTAAACATTAAAGGTAAATCCACTGCCTATACCTTACTACCCAGAGCAAGACTGAGGGAAAGCTGAGAGCATTTATTTAGTATTTATTACCCACTCTACTAGGAAACATCTTAGCTTACAGATGGAGAAACTGAGGGTCAGAGAAGGCAAGTAACCTCCTTGAGGTTGCACAGCCAGTAAGAGGCTAAGGAAAGATTTGAGTCCATCAGATGCTCGACCAGAAGTATTCTCTTGTCCACACTAGATGCATACCACACCTCCTCCTTCTTGGACAGGGGCTCGATGCCAGACCCCCAAGCTCTGATGGTAGTCCATTCACTCATTCCCTCACTCATTCAATGACACTTGATCCTGTCTTAGGCTGATGTTGGCTCTTCACCTCCACTCCATATCTGCCACACTTTCAGGACTCTGCTCTGAGAAAGTGAACTCCATTTATTACAAAACACTGGGTTTATCACATCGTATTATGAACAACTGCCGCTGGACCGCCAAGACCTAGAGAGGCAGCAGCCTGGCTTGGGGCCCCGCGACGTTCCTTTGGCCTGCCCTACCTCTGCATGAGGTGCTGGTCGAGGCCACCTGTACTGGGAGCCAGGCCGTCCTATGTCCACAGGACCAAATGGGTGTGAGTCCTGGGTACACACATATATATGATCAAACAGGCCTCCCTGCCAGGCCCGGCTGTCATCCTCCTGGGCGAAGCAAGAGGCCTGTGGTTGGGGCAGGGTCTGGACACCCATCCTGCCCAGGCAGCTCTGTCAGTTGGAGTGGCTTCAGGCCAATCAACCCAGCCCTGGAGGTTCTAGGCCACCTGGATCTGCAGGTCCTCGTCCTCATCCAGGTCACTGGCTCCGTCCCCGGCCTCCTCGGTGCCAAAGCGGGCACTGCGCATCTTCCCAAAGAGGGGGGCATTCTGCTGCTGCCTGCGGAGCCTGGGGGGTGGGAGTGATGAGAGGTCAGGGCAGGAGTTTGGCCCTGCTGCTTGCTGACAATGTGGCTGCAGCTGCGCTGACAGCGGTTGCACCCTCCCTCGTGGATGCCCGTGCCAGGCACCATGAGGTACCTCCATTTGCAGCTGGGGGCTTAGAGAGGGGATGCAGCTGGCTCAATGTCAGAGGGAACAGATTTGGGTCATCTAGAGCCCTTCTATCCTGAATAAAATTCTTGAGGTCGAAATGTACTAGGCCAACTCAGCCCCTGGCAGAAGAGCTGGTGCAGGAAATGACCCCCCACTCCCACCCCGGCAAAGCGGCCGCCTGGCTGGCCAGCCAGTGTATCTTACTGGAAGGCATGAATTATTAACACAGTACAGAGGAGGCTCCATTACGGCGAGGTGATTTAGTGAGTCGTCCCAGACATTAAAACAGGAAAAGTGGCAAACTGAACACAGACAGCGGTGCTGGGGGATCCCGCTGTCCCGGCCGCCCCACACATGCATGCCTGCAGCCAAACAGGATGCCGTGGCTCATTTCCAAAGTTTCGGGCTCTGAGGACTGTGACCTAGGCTAAGTGGCCTTGCAAGGGGTGGGTGCCGCTGGACTTGGAATCCCAAGTCAGGTGCCACCTAACTTGGAATCGCTCCAGGCAACTGGGGAAACTGAGGCTCAGAGCCTGTCCTTTAAGACACAAGGCCTTAGCACACAGCAGCACTGGGTGAGTTTGGGTTCCACCTGGCCCCCATATGGGAGCAGCATTTCCTCCCTGCTAGTCCCCTAGGAAAAAAGATCCCTCTTTCCTTTCCTTTTGTCTTCCCAGACAGGCCCACTGCTTCTGGCAGGGCACAGAACCCATGCCCAAGCCCCTCCCCTGGTCGGCAATGAGGCTGGCAAGAGTAGTGACTCAGTACTTACCTGCGGGTGCTTTTAGGAGCATGAGTCAGCTGGTTTAATTCTCATAGGAGGTAAGAACCACCATCAAGCCAATCAAGCCAGGTAGTGGTGGCTCACACCTAGAAATCCTAGCTACTCAGGAGTTTAAGGCTAACCCAGATAAGACAGAAAAAGTCCTTGGATCAATCTCCAAACTAACTAGCAAAAAGCTGGGATGGGGGTGTGGTTCACATGGTAGAGTACCAGCTGAGAATACAGACTATCCAAGAAATTTAAAAAAGAAAATAAAATACAGGGCTGAGAATGTCACTTAGTGGTAGAGTGCTTGCCTAGCATGCATGAAGCCCTGGGTTCAATTCCTCAGTACCACATAAACAGAATAAGCCAGAAGTGGCGCTGTGGTTTAAGCTCAGGGACAGTGCCCAGGCCCTGAGTTCAAGCCCCAGGACTGGCAAAAAATAAAATACAGAACCACATCAATCCCATTTTCCAGATGGGAAACCAAGCAGACCCAGTGATACAAAGCATTCCAAGACTACCCAGCCTCCCCGCTCTCCCAACCTGAACTCAGGTCCCTTGTCTGAGGGTAAGAACACAGTGCTGTGGCCACCTCCCCCAGGCTTCTAGGTTGAAGAGGACACTTGGATCTGAATGTCTCTGACATTTCCTGGCTCAGGAGAAGTGCGGGGTCCAGGCTAACTCATAAAGGAGGGGGCAATGGGGCGGGATGGGAAGAGGAAGGGAGTGGTGAAGTGGGCTGATCATTCACCCTCAGACCTCCAGGGACGATCGGCCTTCAAAGTAGGAGCCCTCTGCCTCTCCCTGATCTCCCCCCAACCCTCCACATCCCTGCTGTTCTGGGGGATCTGAGGCCCTGTGGCCCTGGGGCTGCCTATTCTTGTTGGTGACTCCCAGCCCTGCTGGCCCCGCCTCCGGCAGTCTTGGCCTTGGCAGCACCTCCTTGGCAGCCCTTCCTGACCTCACTCCACCCAGGGTCCCCAGCTGGGCTGGCTTCCTGCATGCAGCCCCTCCTGGTTTCCTGGCTGTGACCCTTCCTGCCTGGAGGGGGACAGGATTCTGGCTCCCCAGATCTCTTCCTTCTGGACCATCCCCTCTGGCCCTCTTGGGGGCTCCAGCCCTGACCATGTTTTCCGCCCAGGGTCTGGGCTTGCCCTGGGCCCTGTGGGGGTCCCCTCTCCTGCTGGCCAGCCTGCCACGGCCTACCTGGACTGTAGGTGCTCCAGCTGCACCTGCAGGTTCTCGCTCTGCTCCGTCTGCTCATCTAAGGATCGCTGCAGCTTCCGGGCCTGGTTGTGAGCTTCATCGAGCTGTGGGTGAGTAAGGGTCAAGTTCATGACAGTCACCAAGGTCCAGTCATCCACTGGGTCTGGTCCATCCCTGCTGCCCTCCCCTCCTCCCTCTCCTGACATCCACCTGCCTTCCCCACCTGGCAGCCCAGGGGGACAACTACCCAGCCCTCAGCACATACCAAGCTACTACAAACCCTCACTACATATCCATTTGCACATCCACCGCCCAGCCACCACTTCTGGCAGTCCTCCTCCCTCCCTGGCCCATCCAGGAGTCCTCACTCACCCTCACCCACTCAGTCACCTTGTACCTTTCCTTCCCACCCACCTGCGGCCCACCTGCTCTCTGCCCTGGGAGCCTCTTGGCAGTGCTGCCGGGTGCCAGCCAGCGGGCACGGCCTGGGGCAGCACGAGCAGCCTGGGTACTCACCTCATCCTCGGCCTGGGCCAGTTCTTTCTTGAGCTCCTCCACGCGCAGCCGCAGCTTCTTTACCTCAGCCTCGTGCTGCTCCACACGCCGATTGGCATGGGTCAGCTCTGCCACCTTTTCCTGGACCTGCTTCTTCAGCTTGCCATGTACGTGCTTCAGGTCGGCCAGTTCCTACGGAGAGGTGAGGGAAGAAGGGTTCAGGCTCATGGGGACGGGAGGGGTAGGGTGGGGAGGGGAGGGGGGAGGAAGAACGGGGGTGCCCTGGGCAGTCCTGGGACCTGGAGTACCAGCATTCAGGCCTGAGGGTAGTGAAGGAGTGGGTGGTGGATGGGTGAGTGCAAGAGGTCTGGAGATGGGCTGAGGAATTCCAAGTAGGGAGGAGTTGGTGTCAAAGGGAGAGCTCCACCATCAGAAGTAGAAAGGCACTGGTTGCTCATGACTGTAATCCTAACCACTCAAGAGGCTGAGATCTGAGGGTCTTCGTTTGAAGCCAGCCGAGGCAGGAAAAAGTCTGTGACTCTTATGTCTATTTAACCAGCAAAAAAAATGGAAGTGTTCTGGAAGTGTGGATCAAATGGTAGAGCGCCAGCCTCTACCAGTAAAAGCTAAGGCCCCATGGGCTTGCCCTCTCCCACTGCCTCGACCCAGCCTGCTCACACCACTTCTGCCTGAAGTTCCTCCCCAAATGCCCATGGCTCCAGCCTCGTCCATCCCGACCCCAGTGCCACAGGGTTTTTATTCCTCCACTGTTCCTGTCCCTCCCACCTTGGGACATATAGTCACACTATTCTCCCAACCAGGGCAGTTCATCTCCAGTGACCTGTCCCTTTCCCTGGAGACCCAGCTCAAATGCTGCCACTTACGGGAAGCCTTCCCAGAACCTGGGGCCCATGTCAGATCCCCGGTGTCTCTCTACCTGCCCTATCAAGGGAACTGTGGGAGGGGTTCTGGCATCTGTGACCCAAAGACTTATGCCCACTCATGAGCCATGTGTTCTGGCTCTGTGGTGTCCTTAACACACTGTAGACACTACAGACATGCAGCTACTGTTTAATCCAGACCCACAATAGGTGCTCAATAAATGTGGCTAGAAGTACCAACAGGTCTAGCATACAGTGGGTGCTAAATAACTGCAGCCACAAGCTGAGAATCTCTCACCCAAAAGGCTTAGGACCAGAAGTGTTTGGCCCTGCATTTTTTTTCTTAGGACACTGGAATCTTTGCACATGCATAATGGGACCTGAGTCTGATTCATTTACATCCATATACGCCTGGCTTTTCTTCAATGATCCAGAGCCTGAGAGAATATTATACAGCATTGCCAGTGTGCCAGTGTTCTGGAGGTGCTGGGCTGGCAGTGGCTAGGTGAGCACTCTTCCTGTTTGAGCCACACAGCACCAGCATTTTGATGGGAACCCGCATCTGTCAGGTATGGAATTTTCTACCTGGCTATCATTCAGATTTTGGAGCATTTTGGATTTCAGATGTTCGGCCCAGTTAGGCAGAAGCTGTAGTGTAATTATCAACACAGCAGGCACAGTGCCGGCACACTCCACTCCCTGCCCCACCTTGTTCTTCTCGAACAGTGCGGCCTGGCTGGCCCGCAGGTCGCAGTCCAGGGCGCTGGCCGTCTGCCGCCGCCGCCGGGCCAGTGCCTCCTCCAGGTCCCCGACCTGTGCCCGCAGCTTCTTGTTCTCTCGCTCCAGGCCCAGCTTCTCTGTCTCCAGCCGCTCACGGCGGCCCCACTCTGCTGCGTTCTCTGCCTGCAGCCGCTCCATCTGCAACAGGACAACAGGACAGGACGCCTTGAGTCTCCTGGGGAACAGGCGTGAAGGGCGGGGCAGGACACTCCGCCTCCTCCTGCAGCCATTTTTGGCTCCAGGAAGCAGATCCAGCTGCAGCGGATATAATTATACTGAGTTTCTTTCATGGTGGGCAGGATGTGGGGTGCTTCTGGTCTCTGTGTAGGAGGGGATGCCTCCTGCAGACTGGGCACCCTGGGGTGCGCAGTCCTGCCTTGTCCCTCTAGTCCCAGGGCCCCAGATCCTGGCCCCTTACCTCTCCCCTCAGCTCGGCTATTTTCCGGTCCATGCTGGAACGCGCGCCCAGCTCGTCCTCCAGGTCTTCAGACATGCGGCCCAGCTCATCCTGGTGTGCCTCCTTCAGGATGCTAAGCTGCAAGGGCCACACAGAACTGGTGACGGAGAACCACCAGGATTTAACCTGGATAGGGGGCGGGGAGCAGGGCGCAGGGTGATGTATTGGTGATGTATTGGTCAGGAGGGTTCCGGGAGCCTGAGGCCACACCCAAATGGAGCAGAGCAGGCCCACTGCAGGGCCTTTGCACATCTTCTGCCTGGAACAGTATGAGGTGTTTTGCAGGATTGGCCTCTCCTGTCCACCTGGCCTAGAAGAGGGGCCCCCCCTGTCCTCTCCCCACTGCAAGCCAGTGGACAGGGGCTTGTCTGCCTCCTCCTTTGTATCCCTGCAGGGGACTTGGCAGACAAATCTCAAAGACACACCTACTAAGCCTTCCACCAGTCTGAGCATGGGGTTCAGAACTGGTTGGAATGCTTTCTATAAATAACTATTATGTATTATGTATAAGATATACAATATGTATTATCTATTACCATAATAATCTAATACCCTGTTGCTCAGCAGAAAACCCCAATGAATTGTGGCTCCATGCCACCCCCCCTGGGCGAGTCTTCAACACGCAATGCTGGGGGCAAGACCAGATGCACAAGGGAGAACTTCCTGTTCTTCACTTTCCTGTAAATGTTTATAGTTCATGATCTGAACAGCTGAGCTAGGTTGCTCCGCCCATACCCTCAGTTGAAGATAAACAGATGGAGGAGAGATAGAGCTGGGGTCTGGGATTCTGTGTCAGGAGTTGCTCAAGAGATCCTGGAAGACCAGCCTCCGTCTCTTCCAGGCCCAAGTTTCAGATTTTGAGATCTGTGGAAACCCAATGGCTCCAGCCCAGCTTTCCCAGGGCCGACCTCGCCCCCTGGTGGCCATGCTGGGCCTGCACAGGAGGCAGAAGTGGCAGCCCAGCCTGTCCGGTCCCCAGCCCTCTTCCCCCTCACCCCCAAGTTACTGCCACAGGGGAGTCCTCTGTGCTTCCTCATTTGTAAGCTGGGGACAGGGGGACTCAACCTCCTTCAGTACCACAGGAGTTCAATGACACCCAGCACACGCTTGGCATCAGAGGAGTCAGTGTCCCATCTGACTCCATTGTGGTCACAAGCGCTGTGAGATCCTGCTCCTGCGGCCTCACCTCTCACCAGGACTCTCCAGCTACACTGGTGCCTAGGCTTTTGACTGCCTCAAGACCTTTGCATTTGCTGTGAACACTCTGCTCCCACATTTTCTCAAAAATGCCTTCTACTAGCCCCATTAGGGCTGGCGTCAAATGTGACTTTCATACAGAAGCCTTTCCTGGCCTTAGCTCTCTCATGCTGTTTATATTCCTTTGTGACTCAAGTATTTCCCTGCCTGCTCACCATATATTCCCAGTGCCTTGTTGCTGGGTAGCTTTGTCTGTCTGCTAGGGTCAGCCCCAGTTCTCAGAACAACATCTGAATGAATGAATGGATTCCAGTTTTTGCTGTCCCCACTGCTGGAATTCAACAGTGATCTACTGCCACCTCCAGGATGCCCTCCACGTCTCCAGACTCACTTGCTTGAGCATCTCCTGCTTGGTCTTGTTCAGCTCCTCATACTTGATCTTCCACTGGCTGAGCTCCACCTCCAGCTTCTCAATGTTTCTGCTCAGTGCCAGTTTGTCCCTGGGGCAGGGGGATAATTATAAAGTAATCTGAAATGAGACATTTGATTTCTGGAGGCTAGAAATCCAAGGCTGAGTGTTGGTAAGATGGTTTCACCTTGGGCTGGGACAAAGAACCTGTCCTCACTGACTCCCCCCACCCCCATCCTCCACCAGCTTCTGGGAATTGCCTGGTGTCTCTGATGACAGCAGCAATGACATCTTGAGGACAGATACCTCACCTGACCTTCGCCTTCACAGGGTCCTCGGTGTCTGCACCCTGGTCAGTGCTCAGTCCTTTACAGGCCCAGCTGACAGTCCTCTGTTCCTCCTTAGTTCCTCTGCCTCTTCCTTTTCCTCTAGCTATCCTTTGAACTTGGCCTTCCAGCTCCATCCTCTGACCCCTCCTTGCTCTGACCCCACAGGCTTCTGGCTTCAGACACCACCAGTTTGCTGAGGACTTGCACTTCCGCCTGCCATCCAGTCTCATTCACAAACTCACCCACCTCCAGGCCAAGCTACTCCCACATCCCTGAACCAAACTCCCAACCAACTTCCTCCCTCCTCCTGCTTCACCTGAACCACAGCAATCTCCTACTCTACCAAGCCCACCAGACCAAGCTCTGGGGGATTCTGTCACCTTTCTTTTCTTCCTTCTTCCCTCCCTCTCCTCCCTCCCTTCTTCCTCCCCCCCCCCACCTTTTCTTTTTTTCCTTTTGGCAGTGCTGGAGTTTGAACTCAATGTCTTGCTAGACAGACACCTTACCACCAAGCCACAAGTTGTGGGACTTGAACTCTGGGCCTGGGCGCTGTCCCTCAGCAATTCAGCCAATTCAGCTCAAGGTCAGTGCTCTACTACTTGAGCCAAGCGCCACTTCTGGCTTTCTGGAGATGAGTTTCACGGACTTTCCTGCGGAGGCCAGCTTTGAACCTCGATCCACACAGATCTCAGCCCCCTGAGTAGCTAGAATTACAGGTGTGAGCCACCAGTACCTGGCCAGCCCTTTTTTGAACTGGTTGCTTTTCCACACTTGTATCTGGATCATAATCCTCCTATTTAAGACTTTGCACCTTAGCTGACATAATAGGGACATGCCACAATGCCCAGCTTCTTCCACTGAGATGGACTTTTCTGCCCAGGATGACCTGGAACCATGATCCTCCAATCTCAGTCTCCCAAGTAGCTAGTATTACAGGCATGAACCCCTGGCACCTGGGCAGATTTGGCCTTCTTTATGAATGTCTTAAGAGCTGAACACAGTGCTTGGCCCAGGACAGATGATCATTATTTTAGAAGGAATGAGTAAAAACTAGCCCTGAGCTGGGCGCCGGTGGCTCACACCTGTAATCCTAGCTATTCAGGAGGCTGAGATCTGAGGATCATGGTTAAAAGCCAGTCTGAGCAGGAAAGTCCATGAGACTCTTATCTCTAATTAACCACCAAAAAACCAGAAGTGGTGCTGTGGCTCAAGTGGTAAATTGCTCACCTTGAGCTGAAGAGCTGAGGGACAGTGCCCAGGCCCAGAGTTCAAGCCCCATGACTGACAAAAAGCAATACAAAACAAAACAACAACAAAACTATCCCTGGTCCATTGGGTGCTCTAAAACCAGGCCTCCTGACTCAAGAGTACCTGTACCTTGCGGATTGCTCATTCTGAGACACACATATTCATTCTGAGGTTCTGGGGGGTACCCCAGCCTGCACCTGCCTCCCCTTTCTCCCCAGACTTACTCTCGCTCCTTGAGCAACACCTTCTGGGACTCATCCAGCCGCAGCCGCAGGGCAGTCAATTTGGAGGTGTCATCCTCCGTGGCCACAGGGTCCTCCCAAGGCATCCGGCTGCGCTCCGGGCGGCCTGAGCTGCCCCGTGAACCTCCGGCTGCCACGCCTCGGGACTCCCAGCCTCCCTCGGGCTCCTCAGGCCTGCTCTTCAGCAAGCTTTCCACCAGGTCCAGCTCCTGTGGGGATGGAGGTGGAGGCTGCCCCTGGCTGCTGGGCTCTCTCCTGGCAGTCTTCCTTGTGGCCTCTCTCAGGCCTTTGGTCTGCTCAGCTTGGTGGGGGTGTTGGAGCACATCACAAAATGCCTGTGGGCCCTAGCTTCCTCCCTCCTGCTGCTTTGCCTGGGGAGGCGGCCTCTCCTTCTCTGGGGTATGTGGCAGACTGACCTCCAGATTGTCTTGCCCTTTATCTTTTGGAACTGCATAGTTAGGCACTGGGGTTTCCAGCAAAGGTAGTTCACTGCAAGTATGCAAGCCTTTGGTGGGACTGGTCAGAATAGAAGCTGCAGTGAAATGTGGCCTACAGCTTAAGACCTGATTCCCTCAAAAGGAACTTGGGGCTGGGAATGTGGCTTAGTGGTAGAGTGCTTGCCTAGCATGCACGAAAACCTGGGTTCAATTCCCCAATACCACATAAACAGAAAAAGCCAGAAGTGGTGCTGAGGCTCAAATGATAGAGCGCTAGCCTTGAGTAAAAGAAGCTCAGGGACAGTGCCCAGACTCTGGGTTCAAGCCCAGGACTGGCAAAAAAAAAAAAAAAAGGAATTTAATCCTTCCAAGGAGATGGGTGGCTCTGAGGACTTGGGGAACACTGACTTCCCTGCCTTCCTCCTCAGGTGCCCTCCCCCTGGGGAGGGCAAGGGGACAATTTATGGGTTCTGTTGAGTTCTCAGGGCAGCTAGAACCTGGGATTTCCATCCCAGAAGTTGGTGCAGAAGGGAATGTACTGGAGTGTCCTGGAGGCAGACCGGGAGGCCCTCCCTAACTCCATCAGGAGCCAGGAAGTCCTGACTTCCTCCTTGGTGCACCCACTTTCAGACCCAAGTGCAAGGTGGAGCCCCCGTCCCCTGCGCACCTGGCTGCCCGGCGGCCTCTCGGCCCCGATGTCGCGCACCGGCTCGCGCTCAGGGTCAGGGTCCTCGCCGTCGTCCTGCGTCCTGCCGGCCGCGCCCCGCAGCCGCGCCAGCTCGCGGCCCCGCGCCTCGCACTCGCCCTGCGCCTCCTGGCGCTCGCGTCGCGCGCCCGCCAGCTCCTTGGTGAGCGCGTCCAGGCGCTGGCGCAGCTGGCGCACCTCCTCGCGCGCGCGGTTGCGCTCGGCGCGCACCTTGCTCCACTTCTCGCGCCAGTTCGCAGTGCAGTCTGACCACCAGCGCATGGTCTTCTCCATCTGCGCCGCGCGCGCGCGCGCCTCCTCCAGCTCCCGCAGCCGCAGCTCCTCGCGGCTCTCCCAGTCCCCATCGGCCAGCAGCGCGGATGGGGGCGCGGGCAGGGCGGGCGGCAGGGCCAGCGCGGGCGGGGGTCCCGGCGAGGGCGTGCCGCTGGACGGCGTGGGGGGCAGCGAGTCGGCCGTTCCCGTGCGCTCCGGCGGGGGGCCGCCCAGGATGGTCAGGAGGCTGCCCTTGACCAGCTGCGGGGATTCGGCCAGCCGGGGGCTCGGCCCGTGGCTCATGGTGCGGCCGAGCAGGCTCTAGACTCGAACTCTTGTGGGTCAGGATCAGGGACCGAGCAGGAGACGCCGGGTAGGCGCCACACCACTGTACATGGTGACTGTCAGGACTCGCTGCTCTCAGACCTGCCTCCTGGGATCTGCGGGAGAACAGGACCCCGGTTATGCTGTGACCATCCTCAGTCCCTTAGATCAGCCATGAGGGTACAGCGGTGCCCAGTACAAGGGGGTGCTCCAGGGCGGAACACCTCCAGCCCCCTAGTCTCCATCCCTTAGCAATACGGCTGATCTAAACTTTGCCTTGCTGGCCCACTGCTCTACCACCCGCTGGAGGGCCGCAGACTCCACATCCCCACCAAACCACGAAGGACCATGACATATTGGTTTACAACCACCTTCTGTCCTGCTGCTGTGACCTCTCCCTTCACAAGTCTAACTTCTCATTCTTAGAACTCCTCTGAAGTCCCCCTAGAAGCCTTCCCGAACCCCAAGACAGGTTCAGAAGCTCCTGTTTCCCCCCTGTCTGCAGGAACCAACCCTGACATGTATCCATGCACACTCCCCCACCCATCCCAGGCTGGGAGTGCTGAGAGCAGGGGCTGTTGGCTCTGGCCACTGCTGTAGTCCTGGTGTGGGATGACAATTTGGTGGAGATCTGACTGCCGGCCAGGGCTTTATGCAAATCACATCCTTTATTTATTCTTCTCAGATGCTAGCTGAGAAAAATTATCACCACCATTTACAAGGTTCATGAGTCCAAATGGAAACACTGGTGAGGGTGGGTTGATTAAACGCATATGGGCAGAAACAGATGGGTCTGAGATGGTGGTGAGCTGGGGTTGTAGGAAGCTCCCAGCCTCTGCCACAGGCACCCCCCCCCCCCCCCCAGCATGCACACCTTGCAGATATCTCCTCTGGCTGGTCTGTCTGTCTATCTGTTTCTTTTTGGCAGTGCAAGGGGTTGAATTCAGGGCCTCTTCTTTGTCAGGCAAGCACTCTATCACTTGAGCCAGGCCCTCAGCCCTTTTTGCTTTACTTTGCACAAGTGGGAGACAGCATTTGCCTTCTTATGCTTCCTGTGTAGCTGAATACCTGCCACTTCCGAGTGACCAGTGCATGATTAGTGGTGCTCTCAGCAAAGCTGAGGGGACGTGGACATCATGTTCCCCTCCATCTCCCTCAGTCTCAAACCCTCCCAGGATCTGCAGGTGATCTAATGTGAAGGAAGCTGTCAAGCTAGCTTTCCTTTCTGCCAGAGACAGCACCTACTTGAGTACAGGCTTTCCTCCTACCCATGCAGCCCTGAGATGATGTCCTTTCCACCATCCTCACCCAGCCCCTCCTGGCATTCTCCCCTCCCCTCCCCTCCCTCCACATCTTTTCATGGCCCACCCAGAATGGTCCAAACTCATCCCCCTCCCCATATTAATGCCACTGCCATGCTGTGCCGTCTTCAACTCTGGACACAACTGCACCTGCTGCCTTAGGTCATTCTCTTCCAGATTCTGTTTTCTTGTGTTTCCCTCCTCTCCCCATCTCCTCCCCTCTGCCCTTACCTGAGTCACTGCCCACCACCTTTGACCTCCTTCAGATCCATTCTCACAGTAATAGACAGAATGAATTTTTTTTTAACAGTACTTTGTCTTGAACTCAGGGCCCAGGTGCTGTCCCTGAGCTTCTTTAGCTTAAGACTACCACTGGAGCCACAGGGCCACTTCCGGGCCTTTTCTGAGTAAGTAGTTTTGATTGGAGATAAGAGTCTCATGGACTTTCCTTCCCCAGGCTGACTTTGAACCATGATCCTCAGATCTCAGCCTCCTGAATAGCAAGGATTACAGGCATGAGCCACCAGCACCCCCAGTACCCAGCACAGAGTGAATTTTTAAAATGTGAATCTGACTGGCTCTTTGTCTCTGTATAAATGGGACTCCTACTCCTTCTAGAACTCTAACTCCAATCTTTCTTCTTCAATCTAAAAGAGCCATGGCCCACTGCTGTAGCTCCCAGGCTGTGGTCCTAACCTAACCCAGGCCCCCAAAGGGCCCAGTCTCTCTCCTGTTCTTGTGTCCAGGCAGACACCAGCCCTGGTTACACCCAAGCTGTACCTGCTCCTACCTTTACCTGGGTGGCCAGGCACCGCAGGCCTCCCAGCCCTGTTTTAGATCTGTGACCAGAGTGGTGTGAGCTCCCCTGGCCTTGGTGACCTTGTGCTGTTGGTGACTGCACATCTGCCTTCACCGGACAGGTACCCTCGGCTCAGCTCTGTCACAAGAAACAAGGCCCTTTGGGGCCTCAGGTTCTGGCACCTGTGGAATGGGTGGAGGCGAGGGGTATGCTTCAAGTTCACCTAGATACTTGCTGAAATGCAGTATCTTGAGGCCCCCAGAGGGGGCGCAACTGAGTATGCGCTGTAGGGTCCAAGCCTGGGTCACATGAGTATTCAAGCTGCCTTCTAACCACCCAGAGTTCCACACAGACATGTGTCCTGAGCCCAGGACTACCCAGGATCCAGGATCCAGGACTATCCAGGATCCAGGTTCACAGACATTTCTGACAGCACCAGGAATCCCTGGCAGGCTGAGTGCACACCTGCACATGGCAGATGGGTCAAAGATGAGCAAAGACAGCCCTTTGAGAAGCGGTTCCCCCACGTATACATGCACTCCTGTGTGTATGTGTGTGTGTGTGCATGCACACATAATCACTCACTCTTGCTCTCCTCCTTTCTCCACTTTCCTGGCCCAGCGCCACAGAGAAGCTCTTGGAAAAGAGAAACAATGTGAGCCAGTGCCTGTGGAGGAGGGGAGGGGAAGGAGGCAGGAAACCCGAGTGCCAGCCAGCCAGCAGCAGCCCCCTGTCTGGACACTGCACAGCCGGGCTGGCCTGGCATCCAGGGGCTTTCAGCAGCCCCTAAAATAGGAGTGTGTCTGGTGTGGGGCTTGGCCAGAGGGGCACAAGCCCCTTTCAAGAATCCCAAGCTCATGGTACAGGAGCAGGGCAGGCATCATCCGGGCCCTAATGGCTTCCAGGCACCCACGCTGAAGGCAAGGATGGAGATGGAGAGTCAGCCCTCAGTCTGGGCTCCTTCTGGGGGTGGGGGCAGGGAAGAGAAGGGAATTGAGAGGGAAGGGGTAAGGAGGAAGTGTTTAGGCTGGTTTTCTGGAAATGCACATCACTAACCCACCACAAATCCTGCACGCTTGTGCAGCGCCAACATCTAGTAACTCCTACCTAGCAACTCCCCCAGTTCCACCCCACTCACACAGTTCATAGGCAGCCCTGGCAACCTGTACCCAGACGCCAGCTCCTGTAGAGAGCCAGGCTCCTTCCCCTGGTACCAGGCTCAGTGGCTTCTTCCCAGGTGTGTGTGTGTGTGTGTGTGTGTGTGTGTGTGTTATCCTGATTCCTCAAGGAGCAGGTTAGGGTAGAATTAACCTTCATGGGTCCTAGGGAACTTTTCCTCACTCTATTTCCCTCTCCTGTTTCTCCAAAGTCAACCAGACCTCTCTTAAAAATCAATTATTTAGGTGGGTGCTGGTGGCTCACACTTGTAATTCTAGCTACTCAGGAAGCTGAGAACTGAGGATCATGATTTGAAGCCAGCCCAAGCAGAAAAGTATGTGAGATTCTTTATCTCCAATGAACTACTCAGAAAAAGCCAGAAGCCATGGGCGGGGCGGGGCAGGGGAGGGGGAGATAGGAGGAAGTGGGGCACGGGGGAGGGGGAGGGGGAGAGGAGAAGAAAAGGAAAAACAAAAGAAAAAAGAAACAGCCCAAAGTGGCACTATGGTTCAAGTGGTAGAGCGCCAGCCTTGAGCACAAAGAGGCTCAGGGACAGTGTCCAGGCCCTGAGTTCAAGCCCTAGGACTGGCAAAAAAAAAAAAAAATCTATTATTTATTATTATGAGGATCTCAAGTTCAAAGATATCCAGAAAGGACACTTGTGCTACCTGCAGCTTCTAGGACAGGCCCTGCATACACTAGTTGCTTAAAGCTGACTAGTGGGATGGAGAGAGGAAAGATGAACTCTGATCTTGCATCCCTCGATAGGCAGGGGAGCAGAGTGGGATTCAGACCTCACCAGCCCCCCGCCCAAAGAACTGCTTGCTGTCTGCCACAGGACAGTAACAAATGCCTGCCCTGATCTGACACTTGACACTTGTTGCAGGCTTCAGCCTAGTAGCCCCGCCCTCTGGCCGAAGACCAGAAGCTCCTTTTGTTCATGGACTAGTCTGGAATGTCTTTCCCTCCATTCTTCATCTGCAAACTCCTACACATCCTTCAAGATCCACCAGCAGCATTCTCTTCCCTAGCTTCCCTGTAAAGTGTGGTAGTTCTCCCAAAGCATCACTGTATAGTCTAGCAGGGCACCTGGGTCTTGCTGGCTGACAGCACAGAGCCCTGCCATAAGCATGAGGCTGCCATTGCGTGGATGCTTCCTTGACTGGTTGACAGAAGATGGACAGATGTTTCTGTTACAAAGGAGAGTTTGGGAGGCTTGAGCCATCCTAAGGATCTTTTTTTTCTTTCCCTAAAACAGGTAGGTGCCTGCACCTATCTGTGGCCAGGGTCAGCTGGGGATCTGGCTTCTTTTCAGAGAAAGCCTAATTGACCCAAAGGGGACATGGCTGTGTTTTATGTGTTTTGAATATGTTTGAATATATCATTGTTTACCCAAAGGAGTGCAATGCGAAGGCCTGGATGGGGGCCAGCTGAGGGGATGGGGGACTCAGAAGCCCCAGCACTACCCTCCAGCTCAGAATCTGCCTCTCTCCCCTCTCCATCCTCCTTGCAGAACCTTCCAGGTAGGGCTTGGGGCAAGCCCATGGCCACAGGCCTAGCTGCGGGCAGGGAGCAGGGCCCAGCAGGAAACCACAGAGGACAGCCTGATTGGATAAGTGCAGGGCTCAAGGCTGGTCAGCCACAGACTGTGGGCACCTGTCCCTCTGACCTGCCACCCAGGCTCCAGCAGCTGGACCTCCAGGGGAGAACTGGAGGGAGCACAATGAGGCCTCCAGGCTGGACCTGGCCTGTTCCCATTTACCCCCTTCCCAGGTTGAGGAGCACAATCCTGTCATGGGTTCCAACGATTTTCAGGGCTGAGGATGGAACTCAAGAGCTTTGCACAGGCTAGGCGAAAGCTCTACTCCTGGCCTACATCCCCAGCTCCTCTAACTTCTTTACAGTTGGGCCAACTGAGGCCAGGAGGGGCAGCTACTTGTCTGGCTCACACTGCGCCTCAGCAGTAAAGGTGGGTGGGAGCTGGAATAATAGGACTGGTGGCCTTCCTTCCAGAGTCCTTATTACCCTGGGAGCACCTGGCTGGACAAGCATCGCTGGGCTGAGGGAAGCCTTCAGGAGTGACTCTCCGCAGGGCCTCACCCCTGCACAGCAGACCTCCCACGAATCCAGCCCTGCGGTGGACAAGCCAGGTGACACGTGCAGGTCCCTGGCCTAAGGACATTCCTAGAAACTCTGTCCAACAGGTGGGCAAATCCTGTGCCAACCTGAATCAACACAGCCCTCCACAACTCTCCAGGAAGTGGGGGTGTAAGATCCTACGCCCACTTAGGAGAAACCCAATCTGTGCCCAGGGAAGGGACTGGTCCACATCACCGGCCCCACCTCGGGACACTCCCTTCCTCCTCGTGTCCAGCCGTCCCTCTACCTGACCCAGCTTTTTCCAGAAGTTACTTTTCTGCTTCCCAGGACACTGAGCCGCCGCCGTCCTCACCTAGTCGCCCCCTCCCTGGACACCCCAACCCCACGAACCGTCCCGCTCCCCCTAGTGGTAGGCAGCGGGAGCTCCCGGGCCCGTTCGGTACGGTCCCGCCCACCCCACCACGCAGTTCCCATTGGCAGACACCGCGGGCCTGCGGGAGGCGCCGTCCTCTGATTGGCCAGTGCCGCCCATCCATCCCGCGCTCGCCATGGTGACCACGTTGGGTCCCCCGGGAGAGTTCCACATTCCGCCCCCGCCCGCCGCCCCCTCCCGCCCGGCCCCGGCCCGGGCCCCGGCCCCGGCCCGCGGTTTTCCGCCGGCGGCCCCTCCCCCATCGCCCCGCAGCCCCTGACCGGGGTGTGGGGGGAGCGAGGCGCCGGGATGTGAGGGGGAGCCCGGAGAGGAGACCAGAAAGTTCTGCCCCGAGTTTGGGGCTGCCGCGACCCTCGCGCCGCTCCCCGCGCCTCGGCACCCCCCCTGCCTTAACCCCTTCCCACCCGAGGGCCGATCGCGGCCCGAGCGCACCCCGGGGGCGCGGCGGCCTCCCGCCCCGCCGCCCCTGCGCTCACCGCGGGCCGGGCTCTTCGCGGGACTCCGGACGTCCGAGCCGCCGAGGCAGGGTGGAGCGGGCACCGGGCTGCAGCGGCGGCCGCCGGGAGGGCCGGGGGAGGGCCGCCGAGTCTCCTCCTCCCGCCGGGGGAGGGGGCCGGGGGAGCCGCGGGCGGGAGCGCGCGGCCCGGGCGGGAGCCGGGGCGGCCCCGCGGCGACCCCGGCCCCCCGGGCTCGGGGCTGTGCGACCCCGGCCGGGCCTCACCCTCGAGGGGGCCGCGGGCAGGACTCTGGAGGAGCGGGGGAGGGCTCCGGGCTCTGGTCTCCGAGCGCCCACCGCGTACCGGGTGCCCCGTGGCGGGAGTGGGCACCGCCGGAGCCCCGCTTAGTACGGGAAGCTGCTTCCCAGGTCTCAACTTCGGTGAAGTGTGTTCTTGCTACTGCCCGCGCCGCCACCGGGTGGACGTGGGCCAACGAGTGTGTTCCCGCCCCGGGTCTCAGTTTCCCGTTTTGTACAACCAAAGGAGTCGAAAAAGAAGTGTTTCGGATGTGCGATGGTGCTTGGTGCACAGTCCTTCGGAGGCCTCGCCTCTTGGGGTGGGAGGAGGCAGGGTGCTTGCGGTCTTGGCAGTAAAAGGGGTGTGGGGAGGACCTGCCCACCACATCCTGTATCCTGGCGCGGCTGTCTTCAAATAAAAACCCCCAATTCTAAGCTGTGTGGGGGAACCACTACCTAGAAAAACTAAGAATGATGAAGGTAAACTAGGCTTACCCTGTGATTAGCAATATTTAGATTATAGCTGCAACCATGCATATATGAGAGTGAAAGAAGAATGAATCAAATAGTAATATTTTGAAGACTTTTTGTTTCTTTTTCCTGACAAAGTTCAGTGTAGAGCATCCTTCCCTTCTGAGCTGGGAAGTGTTTCAGGAAGAAGTGGTGTATTAGAAGAATATCTGAGGGCTTCCTCAAAACCAAGGATCACTGTGAATCTTCAGCCCAAATACCACTAATTTTGTGCCGTGCACTGGGGCTTGAACTCGGGCTTAAGCACTGTCCTTTAGCTCTTTTGCTCAAGGCTGGTGCTCTACTCCTTGAGACGCATCTCCACTTCCTGCTTTGTGGTGGTTAATTGGAGATAGAGTTTCCTGATATTCCTGCCTGGGCTGGCTTCAAACCACAATCTTCAGATTTCAGCCTCCTGAGTAGCTAGGATTACAAGCGTGAGCCACTGATGCCCCACAATGGATAGTGGAACTTTTAACTGAGTTTGGTGTCAGTATATACTTCCCTCTAGCAGTTCCCTTTCTGTACCCTTGACACTGCTTTTGGTCACTGGCCCATTGTCCTTGTCCCTTTTAGTTGATGTTTGTCTCTGACTCATTTCACTTTTTAGAAATAGTGTCTTTTAAGTACTATTTCATAGTGCAAAATATTAGTTGGAAAAAGAGGAGATCATAAAACTAAGCCCCAGGCTTGGGCACTGTCCCTGACCTTTTGCTCAAGACTAGTACTCTACCACCAGCCTCAGCACCACTTCCAGCTTATTCTTTTTGTGTGGTGCTGAGGAATTGAACCCAGGGCTTCATGCATGCTAGGCAAGAACTCTACCACTAAGCCACATTCCCAGCCCCCATAAAACTAAACATTAAGTAAAATAATTATTACAAATCTGGATGGAAACATTGTTTTTAAAAATAGCATCATTTGGAGCTGGGCCCTGGTTGCTCACACCTGTAATACTAATCACTCAAGAGATTGAGATCTGAGGTCATGGTTCAAAGCCAGCCCAGGCAGAGGAAGTCTCTGAGGCTCATCTCCAGTTAACCATCAAAAAGCCAGAAGTGAAGCAGTGGTTCAAGTGTTAGAGCACCAGTCTTGAGCAACAAGCTTAGGGACAGTATTCAGGCCCTAAGTTCCAGCCTCAGGACTGTCACCAAAAAGAAAAGGAAAGCATTATTTGGCTATCCACAGTATTTGGCTAACACAGCAGGGTGTTCAAAACAGCCAAATGTCCAGCAACAAAGGAATGGATAAACCTAATGTGGTATATACCCAGTAGAATCTTACTCAGTCTTTAAAAGGGATTTTTTTTTTTCCTTTTTGCTGGTGCTGGTGCTGGAGCTTGAACTCTGGGCTTGGGCTCTGTCCCTGAGCTTCTTTTGCTCAAGGCTAATACTCTAGAGCCATAGTTCCACTTCTGGCTTTTTCAGAGTAGTTTATTAGAGATAAGAGTCTTATGGATTTTCCTGCCCAAAGGGCTGGCTTTGAATTGTGATCTTCAGATCTCAGCCTGATCTACCAGTGCCAGCAGGATTTTTTTTTTTTAAAGAGATTCACTATGTAGCCTAGGTTGACCTTCAAGTCATAATTTTTCTCTGCCTCCTAAATTCTTGGATTATAGGTGGTGCCACCATGCCTAGTTCAGATATCTTGTTTTTTATGTCAAGCAAAAGACTTAAGAATGGGATAAAAAATACATAAGTCATACAGTGGGGGAGGGACATACAAAACAACAAAGAAATCATCTTATAAATATGTTAGAAACAATCACAAGAAAGAAAAAAATATTTGAATACTTATCTTGGGGTTCATTTCACCTAATGTTATGTTGAAAAACGAACTTTACAACTTTGGCCGGGTAGGAGCGGGGAGGGGGGGCGTGGATGGGAAGGGATGGGAAGGGGAAACAAAGGAGGAGGCAACAATGCTTGATAAGAAATGTACTCATTGCCTTGCCCATATAATTGTAACCCCTCCGCAAGGTATTTTCACAATAAAAAATTAAAAAAAAATACATGTCAGTGTTAGAAAGCAGCTAAAGATGCTAGATATTGGCTAAAGATGCCTGTAATCCTTACTTACTTGGGCTACTGAGATCAAGAGGACTTTGGTTCATGGCCAACCTCAAGCATGAATGTTTGGGTGGGCAAGGCAGGAGAATGAGGGCAAGGAACAGAACTTCCTCCTGGGTCCTGAGAACAGCGGCTTGGGTGTCTGGGTAGCGTGAGGAAAGCCACTGGGAGAACTCAGACAGGAAGAGTCTGGAGGTTAAGGCCTGGGTCATGGTCAGAGAAAACAAAAGTCCAGGAGCTCCCAGCTCAGTTGAGCACTTGCTCTGTGCTTGCTCAAAGCCCTGGGTTCCATCTCTAGTGCAGCAATAAACAATAAGTAGGAAAATAAAACTGGGCACCAGTGGCTCCTGCCTGTGATCCTAGCTGCTCAGGAGGTTGAGATCTGAGGATTACCATTCAAAGGCAGCCCAAGCAGAAAAGTTCCCATGAGACTCTTATCTCCAATTAACCACCCAGAAAGCTGGCAGTGGAGCTGTGGCTCAAAGTGGTAGAGCACTAGCCTTCAACACAAAAGCCCAGGGACAGTTCCCAGGCTCTGAGTTCAAGCCTCACAACTGACCAAAAAAAAAAAAAAGAAGGAAAACAAAAGCACAAAGAACCAACACCGAGGCACCTGTAGGGAAGTTGGCCAAGGACACAGGTGCACCAGGGTCTGGAGTTCCTGAAAAGCCTCTGACTGCTTGGGTGCGGGCTTGGCAACTCTTCTCCCCTGTCCCACAGGCTGGGCTGGGCCAGGGATTGCTAAGGGCAAGCTGGGGGGAGGGAGGTAGAGGAGGGAAACCATGCTGGGGCCTGTCTGCTTTCTTTCTATCTTCTCTCGCCCAGAGATGGAAGGGCACATTCCTGAGTCGTGACTTCCCCAGGGAATCTGGATGGGGAACTGTGCGCATGCACACACACACACACACACACACACACACACACACACACACACGCACGCACCATGCCTCTGCCCTCCTCTGAGATTCTGCAGCGGGACCAGACTGTCCTTTGCTGGCTTCAGGATCTGAAATTTGTGACCCATGGTGATTTTATGAGACACCTTCCTTACTGATGAGGCCCTACTGGAGGTGGTACTGTCATCTCTGTCTCACAAAGAAAATCAAAAGGCAGAGAGTTAAGTAGCTGACCCCCAAGTCACCCAGCCCATGAATGGGAACCGGGGGACCTGAGCCCCAGCAGCCTGTCCCCAGCCCTTGCCTGAAGTCCATGGATTGTCAAGTCACACAGGGAGCTCTCTCTCTCTCTCTCTTTTGTTTTGTTGTTTGTGGGACTTGAACTTGGGGCCTGGGTGCTGTCCTGAGCTCTTTTGCTCAAGGCTAGTGCTCTACCATTTCTAACCACAGTGCCATTTCCTCTCTTTTCTTTAGGTGGGGAAACTGAGGCACAGGTAAGTGGTGGTACTTGCCCACAGACCCGGAGCCAAGGCAGCTCTTGGCGCTACCCTAGCACCAGGGTAGGGCTTGTCACTCACGTCCCAGAGGTGCTGTGGCCTCCCCCCACCCTCGGAAGTGCTGCAGGATGAGATCAAGAGGAGCTTGATGTGGCTTGGCTTTGAGGAAGAGAGGCTGCTGAAGAGAAAGAAGAAGTGAGAAGGGGAAGTGTGGTGGTGAAGAGAGGTGAGAGAATCAAAGGGGGCAAGAGGGAGTGGGGACAGCAGAGAGGCTGTTGAAGCCCCTGCCTCCAACTTCTTCTTCCTGCAGAAGCCAGGGAACAGCAAGGAGACCACAGCAGAGACATCCAGCTGCACAGGTTTGCACCCCCTCTGTCCTTGGGACTCTCGTCCCATACTGCCCAGCCCTTTGTCCTAACTACAACTGCCCTAGATGTGTCCCTTTCCATGTGGGCACGGGCCTGGTGACATTCTGAGAGCAGCAAGCTAGGGACACATCCTCATGACAACTCTAGACCCCGGGAATGTAGAGATCTGGTATTTCAAGTGAGGCCATTTAAACGAAGGGTCAATTTGGGGATGAGGCTTTGGGCTCAATGTGGCTCTCTTGTAGCTTGGGGCTAGGAAGGACCAATCTTTTCTGGACCCCAGTTTCCTCATCTGTAAAACGGGTCTAGTATCCTACCCCTCAGGTGACAGGGTTGGGGGGCACAGAGCCGGTGCTCTGTAGATTGGAGGATCTGGGACTAGAGCTTGGGGCTCAGGGAAGTGGCCCTGGGGGTAGGCTGGCTCCCATTCCCTGTTGGACTTTGCTAGGCCTCTCTTTACCCATCTGTGAAATGGTGTTGAGAGTAGCA